GCAATCACGCGTTTGTATCGATGCAATCACGCGTTTGTATCGATGCAGTCTCTTCAGTTGTATCTTGCATCGCTTCTTAAAAACGCACGCGTGTGTAAAGGTAGACAATTAGCTACTGCATCGTGTTTGCATCGCTGCCAAAAAGTTGCCGTGTGAAAGCGCTCTAACATTGACATGTGCGTTGTTACTTTTCCTATATCTATGGTTGTAACTGAACAGGTATTATCTATATGAACATGCAACAGGTATACTCACAAGTTGTAAGTCGGTTTAGGATATGCTTTTTGTATATCAATAGCTATCCTCGCCATTTTTGTGTGAAGTAAGTTATATTTCAAATCTGTTTTCTGCGGCTTCCAATCTATAACAGCTTCCTCTGTAAAGAAAAAAATATATCATAAGCTTTCATATTATAACTCCATACTTAAATGTAGGAGAATGTAATAAAACTTGATCAGCATCTTTCAACACTAAAGTGTGTCTTGAACATGCCTTATCTATGACTAGAATTTGTATCTTCATGCAGGTTGTCGGGCAATAGTCAGTCTCTTAGATAGTAGGACTTTGTACTAAAAAAGAACTGATTCTAATTTAAATTCAAATATAATTATCTTTATTTCATAGGTAACAAATTACACTTGAAATAGTCACATTAAGTAAGGCAGATTCCCCTGTGAATAGTGAGTAAGTAACTCTAGGGGTTGCTCTTTATAAACTAAACATTTGTACAAAATCATTTATAATAGGTATTTATTTCAAATATCAATAATATCGAGTTAACCTGAGCTAGACGGACAACATTTAGTATTAATTTTATGTTTAATAACATTTTAAACTTCGGACAGGAAAACTGGAATTTTGTTATGGAAGTGTATAACATTGCCCCTTAAGTGATGTGAGTGATTGTAAAGACGATTGTCAGGAATAGTCCGTACATTTTTATTCCTCTATTAATGTGTCTGTCACTATTTTTCATTAAAAAAATATTATGCTTTTCAACATAAATTACATTTCTGGATATTATTAGTTAGGTAGAGAACTAAAGACAAGCCCTAGATTATTTAGTTCCTCTTTTCTTAAACTCCTGTATAATCGTCTATGTAACACTTAAACGGTTTTCCTTTTCTTCAAAATAATCTCTGTTCATATTTACTTTCATTTTTTTCTATAGATAAGAACGTTGCAGTTGTCATTATAGACAAGTTCTGAAATAATTAAAAGTAGACGAAACATACAAAACTTATTGAACTATACATTCATTGTTGATAAAATACATAAAAAAATATCGAGAAATTTCAGTGCATGCACATGCAAAGTTTTTGCAGTAGATAAGTTTGAAACTTAAAACTATATTTTCGTTAAACTTGAAAGTGAAAAGTAGTGCTGAAAGCGATAAAAACAATTTGTATCAATCTTCGAAGCTATATAAATTTGAAATCCAGCTGTTAACGTAAACCGTAACCGCGAAAACATGAAACACGCACCTCAACATTCAACATAAAAAAGCATTTTTAAACACACAGCATGCACAATATATAAATTACCCAGGTATTCCTTCCAGAAGCTTTGGCTTTGTTCATAAAGTACGTTCTTTGACGTACAAGTGTAATTGCCGGCATCTTCTCTGCTTGCATTATAGATTGTGTAATTGTTATACCAAATAAGTCTTTCGTCTTGCATGTTAGTATTTGAGTGATTTTCCACCTATTAAACATTTACGTGGTATTAGATTCGCAGATTCTTATCAATATACAAATGTTGCTAGAAATGTCCGATTTATCATGACACTTCTCGCCTGCGATGCAATTATGGCGCAAGTATCAAGTTATATCGGAAGTTTAGTCAGTACCAAGGTACTGTTTCTAATACCTTGCTCATAAAACCCGGAATTGTCCATTTCAATTCCATAGCAGAATTTCTTTGTTTGGGTACAGAACAATTGAGTGAAAATGTTTCGCCTTCCAAGAAATATTTAGACCCACTCGTTATTTGAGGCTGTGGTGGTGGAATCATCACATCTGTAAGCACGCCACGTTTGAGTTCAGTACTAATGAAACATATAGAGTTAAATACTATGAAATTTATACTTTTTTAAAATACAATGCGAATAATGAAATAAAAATATAAGATTAGCGTGCATACATAGTTTAACATTTCCTGTCGTTCAAGTCGTTTATATCATACTAATGTCTCTGTATAACTGTAGGACCAGAGCGTACCTACCGACTCTTAGTAAACTACTACATAATACGAAAACATTGTAAAGAAAAACAAATACAACGTGTTATCTATCATTACGCAACATAAATTTACTGCAACATGCTAGAGCGTTAAAAAGGTTAAATGTAGAAAGCATATTTTTTAAATTATACAATAATATACATTACGTATTGGATAATATACAACTAAGAAATTTTCCTTAGTAACGGAGACAAAAGATACATCATCAATCCCATCTAGCAAAAATATGTCCTATAAAAGTTGCGACCTTTTTTTTGTTTGTTTGTAGTCAGGTTTTGCAGCTAAAATCTTTTCATGTATATGACAATGTTATTCAAAATATTTTGAAATTTTTCTACATGGTGTACTGTGAATATCGGCTATGGAACATTCATGATTTTTCTTGAGTAAGTATGATTGTCATTGTGGTAGCTATTAAAACGGCTTGAAATAATAACTTTGAATTTTCATTAAAATTTCAATGCTTCAGCAATATACATTGTCGGGCTCCCTTATCTTTGTATTAATTAATGAATAACTTAAACTTTACTTGAATAATTGAAGCAAAAATACATTCACTAAGTATATTTTTTTATTACATTCATACAACAATAACTCAAAACATTTTAAGAATTTTATATAATCCATCTTGGAAGACGCTTACTTATTTGTATCATAACAAAGAAATTACTCGGGGAGATTTTTCATTACAGATAAGCCATTACTTACTTGACAGCAATAATAATTGTTTTTTTCTCATTTATTCCATTCACTATGTATGTTTTCTCTTAGGAAGGAACCAAACTTCCAAAGAAATGCGATACAAATTTTATGACATAGTGTTATAAAAGATTTTGTACATCTTGACTACTATTTGCTTTATTAAAGTTTTTTAAGGGTATGTAAAATTCTGTTTACGTTTTAACAGCATTAAAGATATTAGTAAGGTTGTTGTTTTAAAGTGCTGTAAAAGTCATCTGGTTAATATATATTCGTAAGCAGTTTTCATGGCCACTAAGTGAATAGATTGAAATTATGAACCACAGCCGTGAAGAAGCTTCTTTTTAGAGACATTATACAACTCAAATGTAACCATTAATTTACAGTACAGTAAAAGTGTTATCGAATGAAACTATATTGGATATGATTATAAAAATACTAAAAGTCAATTACCTCATTTTTACCATTTCTCTGAATAAATATAAAGTTTACAACAATTATTCAATTATGAACTAAAAAGACATCTTACAATCGAATATTTTGCTGGTTGGGATGTTAGGACTTGAGAGTTGCACTTCTGGCGGTCTACGAGAATAGAATGTGAACTGATGACAGATTGCTTACTGTTAGTATAGTTACTTTCCTTAGAAACGCTAGAAAATATTGGCAAATAGCATTATTTTCTAAAATAGCTGCGAAGAAACAGTGTGCAAGCCAAGGCAATATCTGATTATTGGCATGTATCTCAAAAAACAAACTGACGTGCTAGCTATTTACGCTCGCAGCGCCAGCGTCTAAACTCTCAACGCAGAATCATCCAATTAAGAAACTGCTTAAATTGTGTAATATTATAGTAAGTGGTCAAGGACTGCTTCACGCAGAAAAATCTGATAAAAATTGGCGTGATCATTTTACTCATTATTTCCTCGCATACTTTTAGAAAGTACAATGGTATTTGCTTCGACGGACATAACAATTGCTGGAATCATGACTTATGAAATGTCGCTTGCAGACATGGTTGGGAAGTTGGGAACCTAATATTAGTCCAGTAATTGTGTCTTTCACGTCCTTTACAATAGTGAACTATTAACAAGCTTATGAAATTATTTCTAAACCCAGATTTAGGGTTTTGCCAGAAATCTCTGTGTGGTTTGAAACTGCGGCCGTACATAAGCATGACTTTGAAATCAGCATTTTTCCAGTCACGTCGCTGACTCATGTGAAAAAGCGAGTTAATTTTGTTAGTACTCTATCCAAGTGCAATCAAAATAAATGCAGAGCAACACACCGAAGAAGTGAAAAGAAATTTAGTAAAGACAGGTGTAGGTATAAGCGCAAAACAAAGTTGAAGAAACAAAATGATACCGTCACACCAGGCTACCTCGTTAGAAGACATCAATATTCCATCACTACTTTCTAATTACTTACTATAATTTATAACAACCGTAGTATTTTCATTTCCACGTAGCGCAACGCATCGGAATTTCAAAGGAGGCTTAGGTGTACCATTAGGTGTTATAAACCCGATCTTTGGAGAATACTTCTCTATGGTCCTGTTACCCGGCATCTATTGTCGTATTGCCAATTAAATCGGTTGGTTAGTATATGATATTAAATTTATTAATTAGCACCAATTATAGGTTTGCTAAGCTCATTTGGTTACTTCGATGTAAAATATACAAATATCACATTCACATAACTTTCTTTAGAACGTAAATTGTTTTTTAAAACTTCTTATTAATCGTAAATATGATAAATGTACGATAGTACTAAATACGATGCATAAATATGAAAGCATATTGCTATTGTACACAATTCTAAACACCTACGTTTTACTACAGTAAGATTTGTGCTTTGGAAATTGGTGTGTCTCCGATATTCACATATCAAATCATTTAAAGTGTCCGGAAGAATATTGTTACTGATGATGAACCCGACTTTAGGATTATACCCCTCATACTTAACGTTCGTAGTGCCCATTTTTCCCTGAATATCAAGAACTTAGTTAATCAGTTGCAAAGGAGGTCAGGATGCATATTTCTCATGCTTAACTTCACAGCTATAAGCGTTAGTACTGTTCAGCAACCCTTGAATAAGTCAACAAGTACAATTATGGAAATGTTGACATCTTCAGCAATACTCATTGTATTCTATAGGAAATATCCTTAGTTTGTTTATAAGTACATAACGTGCAAAATGCAAAAAGCTATATTTTCACTGCAGCACACACTTTTTTAATTACCGTCAGAACGTGCAAGTTTTTCCTCTATGTTGCCTATTTTTTGAATTTTGTGTTCGCGGAATTTATATATTTTAATAAATCATATACGTACCATAGTTAATGTTACGTTGATGTCAGGTGATGAAGGTTTACATTCAATTACAATATTTGTTGAACTTTTTGGTACTATAAACTCCTTCATTGGTGCGAACCATGTTGTGCCTAAAAATTATATAGAAGATGACTAGATAAAGGATTCATAAATATTTTAAAAAGCTATAAAGTTTATGGTATTTTTAAACCTCACCATTGACGTAGACGTAAACGTAAGATATGTGTTTTGTATTCGAGGGTTCTTTGTCAATTTCTTTGAGCACTTGCTGGCTGTCCATCGTACTGTCAAAACAGCCATAGTAACCCACAGCCGAGTGGTCTACATTATATAAATTCAAGGCCACTTCATATTTATTTAAGTCTTCATTCACATTTCCATACTGCATTACGGTTTTAAAATTACTTGTTACTTCCTCGGGTATATCTTGCTGCTTTATTGTTACTGGACGATTCGCTCTACATAGAAGAGTGTAATTTTGACCAGCTTGTAGAATTATTTCGGATTTATTTGGGGTAGTGAAAACGGGGCCGCCTAAATCTTCAATATCTGAAATAACAGTTCTAGCCTAATTTATCTAGTTTTCATTATAACTACCACATTATTTTAGAAACTAAACATTATTGTAAAGTCGATAGTATTTTTCTTACTGTTCCTATTTATATCAGATGATTATAGACTCTAAGATACATAAATGTATTATTAAGATTATACGGTATAATAATGATTAGGCGCGACGATTGTTAGTCATCAATACCTTTTCTATGTCATATGTATTATCAGTCAACTTTATAAGCATTAGATGAGAAGAAAATTATGTTTCTCTAGGAAAAAAACGGAAAATTCCTATCATCAATTCATCAAAGTGCGGGCAACATGATCTATCTATCAAGTAGTTAATCATGTTTGGAAGACAAACACCCGTGACCTTGCGGGGTAGTCTCGTGTACGTTGCGTCAATGAGGGAATTGTATGAACCTGATGTAAGAGAGGTTGGCTTATCAGGTTAATGTTGTAATATGAGCTAGCGAAGTTCACCTATCGAAAACACCATTAATTAGTGTTCGTAGGGCGTGACAAAGGCGCGGTCAGCATTTTGGGAAATTAATCCTACCACTAGGAGCAAATGAACTGATAAAACAATTGATTGTATCAAATTCTGGAAACAGCGTCAATTAAGTGATTAAGATCCCACGACGGACAAATTAATGGTCATCAACTCATCACATTAAGCGAAAGCGATGACGTCTTTTGTAGTTGTTAGACAAGCTTATGTACAAATAAATATACCTTCAATTTCATACCCAATAACCTATTACATATAAAGTAAAAGATTTCTATAACCTACAGTCACTACAGACACATTGTACGTGGTTTAAATACGATTCACACTCGACGGAGCTAATCGACGTGGACCGCGGTATACAATGCAATATAGGAAAGTGAAATGTCTATTTCATTACTGAAGTTCACATTTGATTATGACTCGTACATACACTCGTATATACTGTAGTAAACGCGCGTGTGTGCCTGGGTGGCTCTGTCGCGGAACTAACTTCAAAAAATATTAATATGTGCGCGCGCCCCAAAGTCACCAAAGTAGAATGAAGAATAAATCTGCGAGACACCTGCCTGTTGATAATCCCAATTAGCTGGATTTTTAGTGAATGAATCCGGTGTCTATAATTGCTATTTTAACCCCAAAAAATTATATACTATAGTGGAAGCACACGGATGCTTTTCATAAGGTGTCAATTTTACTTTATCGCAAGAAAATTATGTGAAACCTTATTGTTATTAAGTACATAATATAAATGCCTCTCAGTTGTTGTAAGTAGTATGGACTATTACAATAATTTCTTCAAAATACGTAGAAATCGTAAGGGCGTTAAAATAAACACAAGGTGTTAGTTTTTGTATTCGAGTAATACGGTGAATGATATAGACCGGATGGCTTGTTAAGATATCAGAACATGCATCCTGTTGCTAAAATTATTTTAGAACGAGATACTTCCTCTAGCAAAGAGAGCATTTGTGCTCGTAAACCTTATAACATGCGTGCGAATATATGCATTGTCTTTAAATACATATATTACATTTTGTAACTTTTAAAAGAATCTAGTTCCCGAAAACAAATCAGCTGTGCTACACAAAATACTCACACCTAATAAAATAATACGCACACTCTAGAATTTGTCGCTTGGATGTAGGTAAGCATTGTTCAGAAAAATATCACGTAATAACATTTGAAATTTATAAATACTTCATAAGTTGATCACCTATTTAGAAATATTGTAAAATAAATAAGATCAAATAAAAAAAGTGAATAAGTATAGTTCTAAAACAGAATATAATGCCTACTTCATATAGAAATAATTATTGAAGAAATTGAAATGGCAATTCTTCACCAGCAGTATTCTCACACGGTTCATTAAACTTTATGGTCAGATTAGAACGATTTATTGAGTAATACTCCGTGAAGTGAGTTATCCAAGCTTTGTCGTATTAATGGAATATTAAACAAAATTAGAACCCGTACGAACAATGTATTCAAATGGTGTTCCAGGGAGTTGACTTAGTCTCACAATGTAACAATAACTCAAGAAGAATGCTAATCTCCGTACTACTACAGATCGTAACTCTGAAAAAGATCAAAATCCCGATTTACATCTAAATGGCGCTGATCGAAAGCCTGGAAGTAGTTTATATCATTTAAATGGCCGTGGATATCAATTAATTCATCTTTAATTAAGGCGAGTTATCGGAGGAGAAACGGGAAAAACCGTTGGTTTAGATATTTACTATTAAACAACGGTTTTACAAAAAATATACGATACGTATAAGAATATTGTCTAAAGAATATGTTAACTTGTTACACGATAGGATGTACTTTATCCGATTATACAAAATCCTGAAAATAGGCTCAAATAAATGTCGAAAACGAATTATTTAAAAATATAATATTTAACTTTGCACATAATTTTTATATATAAATGTTTCTCTTTAGGTACTACAGAGAACCTGCTAAATTTTGCTTTTCAACTGAAGCCTTATAGTCATTAAATTCACATTTATCCCAAAGTTTGCAATTGCAGCTCTTCAGTCGCCATCTGGCGCTTGTCGACATCGACTGTGTCAAATTTTCTCCATTTGTTCTTATTTTATTCATATGTATATTACAGCGCGCGAATTGCGCAAAGCTGGGGGCGTCCATACCTCACCTCTTAAAAACTAAGCTAGCTGAAATATGTCGCCTTAATATAAAATGTAAAAAAAAGTAATCCGTTTTTCTCCTTATAATATTATTTAAATATTGATCATGAGCAAAATTTATTTTCTGAACTTTGACATATATGGGTGTCAATAGAATATCGAATCAATATGTGTTTTATAAACTAATTTATAAATTAACGCTTTCCAATATTGGTAGATAGCGATACTCCTAAACAAAATATAGAAATAGCTGGCAGTATCTATAAAAAAATCTGTGAAATCGCCATCTAGTTGTTTGTTATCACTAGAAATTAGAAATAGCTTTGATAAATTGCAGCTCGTCAATGTAAACCAAATTAGTTACAAAAATGGGTATTTGAAGTTCGTCGCGACATCTGGTGTGCCAATAAGTTTTAGTACTTATTGGCACACACACCAGATGTACCCCTATATTGTGATTAGCTATAATTCATTTGTTTTTGGCAGAACGATCAGGTTCTGCGTTCCGGTAGTATTGAGAAAGCTCCGAAATTTGTGCGTAAAAAGACGATATATATACACTTCCGGACACATAATTCGAGCCACCGTGCATTTTCAGTATTAATAATTCAGTATAAAAAAACGTTTGAGTGTGTTGATTTTTTTAAAATGGCAACTAATGTTCGGAAAAGTTTATTTCCTTAATGGCGGCCACTAGGCTTGGGTCAATGTCAGTTTCAGTGTACATATGTTGTCGGTTAATACTGATCGAGAACGCCAACGATTAGGCAGAAGCCAGGTTTTTATTTTTGGGAGAACCAAACAACTGTATTATAGACTTGCTTGATCACAGATAAATGACGTCTGTGTTCACACTGTACTATCTGATTGATCAAAAACTCTTAATGCAATTTTGAAGCTGATACACTGAATGAAAATTTATATTTGTCAAAACCAGGAAAACTTAGCAATATTCTAGACTCTTTATATAAATATATTCAAGCGTTACTCTGCGGAAATCTATACAAATAAAAAAGTAAATAAATTAATTTGCTCGCAGAGTTGCAAATTAATTTACTTCCATTTTTATTATAGCCCTTTAAAAATGAAAATTCAAGGCTGCTCGAATTGCTTTTATTAAATTATGTGACCTAGAGTTTATTTTTTTATGATATCAAGTGACGGCACGAACAAGGAATCATATGTAGATCAATAATACATGAAGTTACGCACTTTTGTTTAAATATGACCTCTATTGCAACGGAACAAGACACGGCTGTGTAGCTTCATGTGCTGCTGTCTGTACAATACATGCAGCCGTGCATGCAACAAAGAATCGGTATGTCGTCGAAGAGAAAATTTAATTTACCTATACATGGTCAATTAGCACCATTATTTATGCCGCAAGTCCAAAAGTTTCAAAGTAGACAATTAATACCAAATAGCAACCCCGATGGCTTTAACTGGATAAAAATCAGATATTTGTAAGTCAATGGATAATATACACAACCCATCATTACTTCAAAATCCTTTTTTTTTAGTTTGATTTTAATGGTTAACTGCTCCTGCTGTAACTCTGACATCTACTCTACTACTACGAATTCCAGCAATGCTTATAACAACTACAACGTTACGATACTAACGTTGAGTATAGCGTCTGGCACGGTAAGCTAGAAGACGTCGGTTCGAATCCGGCCGGATCGAAGGAATTTTTTCTGAGTGTTCGATCTTTGTATTAATAATTATAACAAACTAGTAAAGT